GCCACAAATTCCCCCAGCTGTGAGCCTTCCAACCTTCTAAATATTCCTTTATATGTGGTTCAGAGTTCTGGGACCTTCCCCTGAGCCTGCTTGGTAGGGTATTCTGTGTTGTTGTTGGCGGAGCTCTCTGCTATACGTCCACCCGATCCGCCATCTTGTTTGTTCTCGGTGCTATTGATTTTTATGGGTTGATTTTTACAAGCCGAGGTGTATCTGCAACCTTGCTGAACTTCATTAGCTCTACTAATCTGTGCAAGGGTTCAGCTGATCTGTCAGGTGGATGAGTCCCTTACCCACAGATCAAGTACTGCTGAGTGTTCACCAAGTGGTAGGCCTTGTTCTGGATGAACGGGCAGAGGAGTGAACAAAACAAAACAAACTCCTAGCCTGACCCAGTGTACATTCTTGCTGGGGAGAAACTTGAAAAGGAGATGTGGGCTATGAAGAGTACGAAGCTGGGAACAGGACAGGGAAGGGGAATCCATCATCTCTTCCAAGACTCTTTCCTTATTACACTGGCCAGCAATCACATCCAAGGACATGGCTGTTAGATCTTAAAGGAACTGCTCACCAAGTTCCCCATGAGCTAGGATATGAGTTGTGGGTTTGGGTGTATAAACTGTATCAAGGTAAGGAAGTTTTACCCTAATGTGAACTTGTTACGAGTTTTTAACAATAAACAGGTGATGAGCTTCAGCCCAAGTTTTTGCTGCTTGAAATCAGATGACATTTATCTTTAATCTATGACTATACTAAGCTGTGCTGATCACTTTTTGAAGCAGAACAAAGCTGGTTTTTCTGGGCTAAGCCCATGTGATTGTGGCTCTGAAAGTTGTAGTGCTAGATGGACTTAGTGCTTGTTTCCCACGAGACGAGCTCTGTACACTCAAATCGTAGCTTTTCTCACAGGGCCCTGGTGGGGATTTGGAGCCAAGTCTGCCCTCACAGAACAAAGCAGGAGACGGCTCCAATTCCCAGAGTAACTGTGTCAATGGGAAAGAACTGTTCTCCAGAAGCTCAGTAGATCCCAACCACAAAACCATCTGGGTCCTGGGTTTGTTGTAAGGGATGGTCCTGAAATATTCTTTCTATTTACTGGTTTATCCAAGTTCTCTCTTCTACCAATTTTGATATTTTCTGTTTTTCTAGAAATCAACCCACATGACACAGTTTGTCGTTTTTCAAAACACTTGGAGCCTTTCCCCTTGGCAGGGAGCAAAGGGCCGGGCAATATGGCCCTGGTGGGAACCAAGCTGACGTCCCAGTAGGTGTGGGAGGGGCCAGCAGGGACAGCACAAAAGAGCCAATCCCCATTTCTGTGCCTGTCCTGCAGGAAGTATCCTTTAGAACAAGCTACCCTCACAGTCTCCAGCCTCTGGGCCCTCCTTTCTCACCCAGAAATTCCAGCCAGGTGTCCCACCTCACTGCCCTAAGGACACTGGTCTCAGGCCCATCAGCTTTGATCTCAGGCAGTGTCTGCGCAGCTGAATGGCTACTCCGCTTCTGCTCCCATGTGCCTGCAGCACGCCCTAGGCTCTCCCCCTCCCATGTGCACTTGGGGACCCCTCATCCAACACAGTGACCTGATGAGTCTAGACCCCTCTCTGACCATCAACTATAGGCAAAACCTCCTTGTAGAGCCCTACCAGGTGCCCCACACACCACAGTTCCTGACTTCCCTGTACCACTCTTTCACCCTAGAATCTGACTACTCCACACACTTCCATCTGCCCCATCTGAGCCCTCCATGCCTTCACCTGGACACTGCCACAGCCAATATGCCACCTGCCACGCACTAGGGGACAGTCCCCCCACATCAGACCCCTGCCCAAAGTGTGCCCACAGAACCACTGTTCTCACGGGGAGAGTATGGTCCACAGGGACCTTAGCCCACTCTAGTCACACCAGCCTCCTAGCCACCAGAGCACGAAATCCTGGGCTGGACCTCCTAGAGAAAGAGCCCCCACAAGTGGGCATCTGCCGAGTGGTGAGGGGCATGGGGACCACCAGAGCAAGGCAGGCAGATGGAAGACTCAGAAAGGCTGAGGAAGCACACAGTGCAAAAGCCAAGCCAGATCTGAACCCGTGCCGCTCCCAACACCAGTCCCATCAAGGCAAAGGGCTCCTGACAGTGACCTGAGACAGGGCTCAGCAGAGGTCGCCGCCTCCTTCCTGCCCAGGGATACAGGTCCCACACTACAGCACCGGCACTGAGGGCCAGGGCCTAGCACCCACCCCGACAGCCTACCTGGGCATGCAGAGCAGTCAGGAGTGCGTCCAGCTGAACCTCCAGCGTTCGGCTGCCCACATTCACAGCCGCCTCCAAAATCTGGCCCAGACTCTGCAGGCAAAAAGAGGCGTCAGGGGAGGCATAGGAGCCAAAAGCCAGCCTGCTAGGTCAGAGGTCAGAGGTCAGAGGAGGGTGGTGGTACAGGTCTTGGTTCCTGCTGTACTGGGTTGAGCCCCTCCCCCACACAGACATCGTCACCCAGGATCCCCCTGAACTAAGCCTGCCCCGCATGCAGATCCCATGCCCAGGAGTCCATGCCAGGTGGAGCCCTACCCTTCCTAGTCCAGTGGTGTACCTTGGATACGGGGAAGGTCTCAGCGTGCTTCTTGTAGAGGGCGAGCACCCCTGGGACGAGCCTGGGGAGCTGTTCCTCCAGCCTCTCGTTGGGCAGCAGGTGACTCATGGGGCCCAGTGCCTCTACCACAGCCAGTCGGAGCTGCAGGCAGATGCCAACACAGCACACATCAGAACCCAGGCCAGACACAGGGAACCACAGCAAAGCGCTGGGCACAGCCAAGTGCTGAGCCGCATGGTGGGGTGGGGACGGAGCGGGATGTGGCTGGGGCCACCTGGCTTCAGGACCACAGGATAAAGAGGAGGCCAGGGCTGCACAGCCAATCTCGTCAGCCAGTCCCAGGTGTGGAGGTGCTCAGGTGAGCCACCAGACACCCACAGATTAGACACCACCCAAGTGTCAAGGCTAAGAAGCTCTGGCACCGCAGTGGTTACGAATCTGGCTGCGAACCTCAGGGTCAGCAGTCCGAAACTACTAGCTGTTCCATGGGAGAAAGATGAGGCTTTCTGTTCCCGTAAAGATTTACAGCCTCAGAAACCCTGCACAGGGTCACTATGAGTTGGAATCAACTCGACAGCACTTAACAACAACAAAGTGTGAGGGCCAGCAGGTGAGACAGTGCTGGATAATCAGGTGAGACATCATGTAGATGTAAAGACCCACAGATTGGGCACCAGGCAAGAGTGGGGACTAGCAGGTAGACATGGCACAGGTGTGGGGACGCTCCGGTGAGACACAGTGGAGATGTAAGGAAATTCAGGTGAGAAACCGTGCAGGGGTGATGACTGCAGGTAAGACGGAGAAGACCCCGTTTCCTGAGCTTTGAGTTGTTGGGGCCTTGGGAGGAGAGCACATACCACATCCCCTCAGAGCCCCTGCCCTGAGAGGAGGTGCTTAGTGCTCCGAGAGGGGGTGGGGCAAACCTTGGCCTCCCGACTCGGCAGCCAGTGGTTGAAGAGCACGTCATAGGCACTGAAGATGTCGGAGGAGAAGGTGTCCTTCCTGACCGTGGGGTCTGGGGCCTGGTCCAGGTTGGCCAAGTACTCCAGGGTGCTCTCGCTGAAGTGTCGCAGGGCTGCACTCATGAAGCATACAGGCTTAAAGAGGGGCCAGCAGCCCAGGCCTACGGTGCAGCTCCCAAGGGCGTGGGCGCAGCTCCCAAGGGCGTGGGCAGCCACAGCATACCAGCCTCTGCCCAACAAGCCACAGAGGTAGACCTGGAGGCTACTGGAGCTTGTAAGGGTAGGTAGCCAGAACCACAGTACCCCCCTCCTCCCCACCATCTCTCCCTTCCCTAGGCCCAAGAGTCTGAGCACAACCCAGGGTGAAGGGGCAGATGAGGGGCAGGCAGGCCTCTCACCAGAACAGAACACCACCCGCATCGCGTCCTGCTTGGCCATCAGCAGCATGGGCAACATGGTGTTCAGGATGGAGGTCAGGAATGGCACCATGCCGAACACTGTGGAAGAGGCCCATTAGTCCCCCCGCCAGGCACCTAGGGAGCGGCTCCCAGCAACTGCGGGGGCGGGGATGGCACCTACCGTTGGCTGCTGCGAGGCTGGCAAGTGTCTGCACAACGAAGTGATGCGGCAGCAGGCCGGGCTGGAAGCGGCTCAGCAGCTCCTCCATCACAGTGTTGATGAAGCGCGTGCCCACAGCCACCAGGACGCGGCTCGCAGCCTGCTGCCAGTCAGGGACCACGTCCTGTGTCAGCAGAGTTGAGTCTGAGCGCCGGCGGAGCCTCACCCAGACAGTCCCAGAGGCCGACCTGCCCAAGGGCCCCCCACCAAGAATGCACACCCGCAGAGGATCAGCTCTGAGTCCATGCAGTCCCCTGGAACCCCGGGGTGAACCCTCACAGTCAGTCCACGCAGACACTGACACCCCGAGATTTGCCGAAAGAGTTTAGGCATTTTGCTCTCTGCTCCAGTTCCCTTCTGAAAACTGCAGGTGAGCCCCCACCACCCTCAACCGCCAGAGAACAGGAGACACCAGACATAAGCAGCCCCCCAAGCCTACCCAGACAGGCCCGGGGGCTCACCTTGGCCTTGGTCATCTCATTGGAGGCCAGCAGAATGACAGCTCTGGCCGTGTCTTTGTCAAGCTCACTGATGTGACTACGCACAACTGCCTCCATGGCCTTCAGGATCATGGCGCGGTACGGGTGGGCCAGCTGAGGGGAGATACCAGGAGGTTCAGCACTGTGCACTGTGACAGTCTGCTCGGGAGGCCACCCAGCGGCGGACATACCTTCTCGTGCTGTCGGAGGTACTCCTGACAGGCGCTGAGGGTCTCCTCTGGCTGGGCCTCACCCAGGGTGCACAGGGCACTGCAGATCTGCTCTTGCACCTGCGGATCCTTGTCGGTAACCGCATCCATCAAGATGGAACACAGTTCTGCATAAGGAAGCCCAGTTAGCCATGTCTGCATGCTGTTCCGCTGGGCACAGCACTGGAGACACATGTGAGGAGAGTCCACACCTGCGACCTCTTCCCAACAGGTTCTCCCAGGCATGGCCCACCCTGTCCCCATGGTCACAGGGGCAGCCCGCCCTCTCAGCCTGCCCACGACTCACTCTTCATGTATGACTCGGCCATGTCTGCAGCTGTGGTTTCCTTATGCCCAATGCAAAGCCGTGACCCTCTCTCACACCAGCAGGACGTGACTCCTGCGTCCACAGCAGTTAAGACATGTGTGCTGGGCAAACCTCATCAACCAACGTGCTCTGCGGAGGATGACGGGGCCGCATTCTGATGTGAACCTCTCCAAGGACCAAAGGCACCCTTGTCGGCCACCAACCATGTGCAGCACAACTTCCACTCAAGTCATGCACAAGGTCACAACTGTGGGACGTCACCAGCCACAGTGCAGGAGCAACATGGCCACCGCTGCCATCTAAAGCACTGTCCTCTTCATTCTGCAAAGGAGAGGGAGATGGTAGTGGGCCTTGCACAGCATCTTCTTATGGCCTAGGACTGGGCGATAGCCAGGGCTTTCCAAACCTGTGAGCCCTAATGCAGAAGGACATAAACCAGGCAACTGAGGTGGACAAGGATCTGGGGAGCATGCAGGAGGCGTCCCGTCCAGGGACTGGAGCAGCACTGTGTGCCCCATGGGGCCTCAGACACCACACACTTCAAAGCTCCACCCAAGTTCTTTCTACACCTGAGCCCTCCTCTCCAATGATGCTATCCTCCTCCCTGATGCAGCCCTGGGGAGCCCAGAGAAGCAGACACACTGAGCAGCTACAGTCCCAGGAGGAGCGTGAAGCCTTGCGGCAGACAGGAAGCAACAGAATCCAGGGGAGAGAGGACTCCCACTCGCCTGTCCCATCGACCTGCCAGACCCCGTGAAATGGTGGCAAAGATGCCCATTATAAAGAGCAGTGCAAAAACCAGCAAGGATCAAACACGCAGGCCTGGACTCCCCGGGGAGCAGATGGCGAGGACTCTGGCTGCAGACACAGCTGTCAGCCAGTATTTCCCCTTCCTTCCTGAAGAGTGTCTCAGAATCACAGTGCCAACAGGACAGGAAGGAGACATTGGCCAATGTCCACACCAAGAAGGGTTAAGGGCGCCTGCTGGAATTCTCCACACAAAGACCAAAAACACACTTCTCAGAGCGAGGGTGCGTCCAGAGACGGACCTGAAGTCTCACACTGTCAAGCACGGCCAGAGCAGCGAAAACCTGAGGAACAGGCTTTAGCAAGGTCACCACCTCCACCACCCAAGACTCATCCACGCCTGGGATACCTTCCAAACAAATGCAAACAGTTCTGCTCACTCACCCACTCAAAGCAGAGTGCACTAAAGTAAAGAACACTCCACAGGTTCCAGTATGCCCTTCAGCCTCAAACCCAACAGCTCTCAGGATGCTGGGCTCAGGAAATGCAGAGTGACCACACTGGCTCATGGCCTGGAGCTCAAGAGAGGACCCACTGAGTGTGTCGGGGGAGAGGGGGCCACAACAGCTGGAATTCACAGGGTCAAGCACCAAAGAGAGAGCTGTGGGGGAATTCTCTGTCCATCTCTTCCACAACCACGTCCTGGGCTCCTTGAATTGCAGGAGCCCCCCAGATATTTTCCCCCCTCCAGGTCCAACAATGCACTGTCTGTTTATACAAATATGACAACCCAAAAATGCCCTGGAAAGAACAGACAATTTTAGTTCACAAAAAAAAAAAACAAGAGAGAATGGCTCGAACAAATGACGAAGATGCTGAGACAGAGAACATTCCTGAGGAATAAAATATAATGGAATTAAATGAAAAAGAGTTCAAAAGAATGATACTTAGGTAACTTCAAAGAACTGACAGAAAGATCAAGGCAAGCTTCTGAATAAAAACTTCAGAAGAATTCGGGAAAACACTACAAGAACAGACAAAATAAATGCCAATTTTGAAACAATACAAAACCTGCAATTAAAATCCAGAAGATGAATACTAAGATCTCAGATATGGACAATACATTGAAAGGGCAAAAGAGAAGATGTGAAGTAATGGAAGTCTGAATTACTGAGCTTAACGAGAAACCTCTCAATACTAGTATGCTAGAAGAACTTCTGGTCAAGCCATGGTATTTTCAACAACCTCATATGCATGTGAAAGTTGGACAGTGAATAAAGACAACTATAGAAGAATTGATGCATTTGAGTTATGGTGTTGGAAAAGAATATGAAAAGTACCATGGGCTGCCAAAAGAACAAACCAATCTGCACTGGAAAAAGTACAGCCAGAGCGCTCCTTAGAAGCCAGGATGGTCAGATTTCATCTCTCATACTTCAGACATATTACCAGGAGAGACCAGTCCCTGGAGAAGGATATCATGCAGGGTAAAGTGGAGGGTCAGTGAAAAAGAGGAAGCCCCCCAACGAAATGGACTGGCAAATGGCAGCATCGATGGACTCAAACATAGCGACGATTATGAGGCTGGGGCAGGACTGACTAGGCAGGGTTTCATTCTGCTGTGCAAAAGGCCAGGATGAGTCGGTACCAACTCGATGGCACCTAACAACAAGAATAATCAGAAAAAAGAATGAAAAAAATTCAAAGAAAGCCAAAGAGTTATGTGGGACACAAAGAAGAGGAACAACTTACAGGTGATCGTAATTCCAGAAGAGGAAAAGAAAAGCACAGAGAAAATTGTCGAAGAGTTGTTTGAAGAAAATTTCCCTAACATCATGAAAGACTACAAGATAAGCATACAAGAAGCTGAATGAATTCCAAACAGGATAGGTCTCAAATGAAAATCACCAAAACATATCATAGTCAAAACTTTCCCAAAATCAAAGACAAGGAAAGAATCCTGAGAGCAGCTGGGGAGAAATGAAATTACTGCAAAGGAGAACCAATAAGACTAAACACCGATTTCTCACAGAAACCACATAGGCAACAAGGTAATGGAATGCTACATACAAAACTCGGAAGGACAAAATAATAACCAAGAATCATACCCAGCAAAGCTGTCCTTCCAACACAACAGCGAGATCAGGACAGTTCATGATAAACAGAAATGAAAGGAAATTGTAATGACCAGACCAACTTAACAAAACATGCTGAAGAGTGTTCTTTGGACTGAGAACCAACAAAAGCAGATAACAACCTGAAATTAACAGACATGGCAATACCACTGAAAACTCAATCCAGATACAGAAATATTTAAAGTAAAACAAACCTACAAGACTGGAAATAGGGACCCAGAGATACCAGTGTATAACAGAATCAACAGCAAACAAAAAACAGGGAAATAGTGTAGACACAGAACTTTCAAACGGCAAAGAAGTCAAGTAGATTTCAAGATAAAGCAGACTGTTTTAAGCAGGGAAAAAATTAATAAACTACAGGGCTATCTCAAAGAAAAATAATACACCTGGACACCAACAAAACAAAACCAGGAAAATCAGCAAGATTTACATAACAGAAATGAAAATGTAAAGAAAACTCACAAATGAACTGAACTCAGCATAGAAAATTATGTGGAACAAAGAATCCAGCAGCACCACACAAACAGACACACAAAAATGACAGCCATCAATTCATCTTTATTGATAATTATACTAAATGTAAATGGATTAAATGTACCAGCCAAGAGGCAGAGAGAGCAAAATGGATAAGAAAAGAAGAGTCTTCAATATGCTGTCTACAAGAGACTTATCAAAAAGACGGAGACAAAAAAAAAGAAAGAAAGATGGAGCCAGCCTAAATACACACAACGGAATACTATACTACATAAAAGAAGAATGATGAAATCGTGAAGCACCTCACAACATGGTGGGACCTGGAGAACATTATGCTGAGTGAAATTAGTGGATCACAAAGGTACACATATTGTACGAGACCAATGTTGTAAAACATTAAGAAAAGATTTTCCTGATAACCAATCTATGATGGTTGGGAGTAACTATTCAGTCTAAAGAGTAGACACGTGTTGGTATAGGTGACAGGGCAGGCAAAATACATGAAGGACGTTAACAGAGGGAAGATGAAGGCAGTGGTAGTCACAAGGATGCAACAGTTACAGTGAAGAGAGCTAAATACTGTTAACTCCTGGTACTGAATGAGACTGCAATCATTGAAATGAAGCAAAGTATAAGACTTGTTGAATATAAAACTGATGATCTGGATCTACTCTGAAAACCTTCATTCCATTCACAATAAACAGTTGAAAAAAAGTAATCCTGTTTCTACATACTAAGAACTCTGGAAAGTTGAAAAAGCCTACCATTTACCACAGAGTTAAAAAAAAAAAAAGTTAAATCTTTAGGGACAAATTTAATATTAGATACACTAGACCCAGGGCTTTGAACCAGTTCACTGTGGTTCAACCTCCTGCTGAGAAATTTCATTTCTACCCCAGATACACTGAACCAGAATCTACATTTTAACAAAATCCCCAAGCGATTCATATGTATACATGCTAAAATGTAGACTCTGACACAGTATATTGAATTGCAAATTACCAGGAGACTAAACCAGAATGAGCAGGTTAGAAGCCCTGGCCAGACCACACAATGAAACTCTTAAATATTGCTGAGAGATATTAAAGACCTGACGGAACAGGAGCTGCGTAACAGGAGTCCTGATGTGGTGCTGTAGGATGAGGACTGGACTGCAGGTCAGTTTGAACTGCAAGGTCAGTGGTTGCTGCCAACAACTTCCCTAATAAATCCCATTATTGCGAGTGGTGGTGGTGTGACGTGGAGTCGGTGCTGACTCATAACGACCCTGTGCAGGGGATTTCCGAGGCTGTAAATCTTTACAGGAGCAGAAAGCCTCGTCTTTCACCCACGGAATGCCTGGTAGTTCTGAACTGCTGAACTTGAAGTTGGCATCTCTGCTAGTAACCACTACGCTACTAGAGCTCCTAATAATTGTATTGTCTCTAAATTCTGTGGGGTCAGAGCAATGAATTACTGATCTCAGCCAAGAAGTTGAATGTGCCATGGGAGAGATCCTTCAAACCTGGAGTTGAATCCATCCCCAGGTTCACCTTTCGGAATTGATCAAAAGGTTGGAGAAGAGGTCTTGTCGGGCCTCAGCTTCAAAGGAATCAGCATGGGACTGTTGGTGATGATTCCCTCTCCCCCTCATAAAGTTAAA